AAGCTAAACAAACTAAAAATATAAGGAAAATATTAGGCTGCCCATAATTTGTATTACCTGTATTTTTATTAATTTTTATTTATTATTTTTCACTTAATTTTCATTACTATATCTCAATAATAAATAATACACAGTGAATGCTGAAATAATGTCACGCTCTAAATAATTACCCCTCTTAAAAATGGTTATAATTAGCCTTTCTAAAATGAGTTAAAATACTCTCCCCTCCAGCGAGAAGTTGAAAAATAATTACACTGGGTAATAATTATTAAATACATATTATTAAATTATAAAATCAAAAAATTTTTACATATTTCTTATTTCAAATTAATTTTTTAAGTGTAAAAATAATTAAAGAGAATAATCAAAAGTTTGTTAATTTCAATAAAATATATAAACGTTTTAACCAATTTCAATTTTATTTTGACAAAATTCCGAAATGTAAGTCTAATTATTTTTTTGTATTTTTTGAGAATAATTTTGAGAAATTTTGAGATTTTTCAATTATAATTAGCTAGCCTTATTCAAAGTTTTTCTTTATTTTCTTACCTCTCCTTTAGAATTTTTTGAATAAAACTAATTAAACTTAAAATTTAAGCTATAGAAAATCTACAAGTCGAAGAAAGTTATAAAGATATATGTGATGCTTGCTCTTTAGAGTTTGAGAAAGGCGAAGAAATAATTAAAGTAAACGCCTGCAAAGTAATTATTTTAAATCTAAACAAATTTTTAAATTTCCAAATTTTAGCATTTGTTCCACAAAAATTGCTTTGATAATTGGTAGAAATTAAATTATAATTTTAAATAATTTAACATGGATTTTAAATTATATGATTACAGTATACATATAAATCTCGTAATAATTAAAGTAAATCCCTACTAATATAATTATCATGTAGTTTGTTTGAAACAGTAATTGTCCATGGTAATGATACAGTATAAAAAATTGCTTTTTGTCAATTCTTTTTATACCTAATGGGCTATGAAAATGATTATATTTAAAATTTATATCAGTTTATTTAATTGTTGATTATTGTAAGAGGAATGTAATTAATTGAGGGAGGGTAATTAACGAGGTTTGAATGGGGTGTAATTGATGAGGTGTAATTATTGGAGTTTCAGCGGAAGTTCCGGTTCTTTTGGTTTTTTTTTCCGGTTCCATTTTCCGGTTTTTTTTCCGTTTTGGTTCCGGTTCCAGGAACCGGAATTCAAATTGGATCCGGTTCCGGTCAAAATTTCGGTTCAGGTTAACACTAGTAATTATGTAGTGTTTCAATTTATCGCTGGATGGGGTAACTAATATGTAGAAGTGGAGTAATTATTTGAGGGAGGGCAATTAATACATGTTTTACGGTGAATTGTTATAAAAATATTTTTTAAATTTTATTCTTTTCTCAAATTAATTAATTAAAATTAATAAAACAGGATTAATGAAAATAAAAGAAATGCTGGATATTTACTAAAGGACATTGGGATAATTGTAATATTTTATTTTGTTAAAAATTAAATTTTTGATTTAATTTTAAATTTAAAATAGACTAACAAATGTCCAGTCTGTAGCAATATTATTTTAATACAACAAGAACCTAAAATAGAAAATAATCTTGAAAATGAATTTAAAGATAAAAATAAAAAATCAGAGAATAAAATAATTAAACAATTAAAAAGTAATTATTTTTATTTGAAAAATATTTATAATTATTTTTAAAGGATATTTTACTAAAAAGTTATTTTGAACGATTGTAAAATCAGAAACTAAAACATTACTTGAAATTATTTGTTATCCTTTATTTTATGTTTTCTAGTGATCGGACGATTGTCTCGTACTACGGCCGTATTTTCCGGCATTTATCGGGATTTCATATCGGTAGTAGTGTACGGATTACCGACCGATACGAAATTCCAGATCACTAGTTTCTTCTACTCTTTTTTACTGATTGTAAACTTTTTTTTTAATCGCTAGCAATATTTTTTCCCTTTACCCAAAAAAGTTTTAAGTTTTTTTGCTAAATTAGCATATGTAGGAGATATAAAAATAATTATAACAAGAAGTAAATACATTCATTTTTTGTTGGTTGCGAAGAAGGATTTTCAGGCTTATCTTCTGTTATCGTCACTGACTCTTGATTGTAGTTTTGTGGAGACAATGTTGTTGGGAATTGATGCATTGTTGAAAATTGGCCCAAATCATATCCAAAAGTGTCAAAGTCATCAAGAGGTATAACAGATGGAAACAATGAGTGGTGATAAAAGGAATTATCCCCAACAAGTGATTGTTGGCCTTGGAATTCATTTGAAATTGGTTGTGGATGTGAAGATTCATGAATAGAAGTAGGTTCAAAAGAAGAAACTCCTGTAATGTTTGGGTGATTAGTTCCATCTCCAATACCACTCGTTGAATCAGCATGTCCTCCATATTGACTATATAATTGATGTTGTTCTTCAGATCCTTGATTTATATTTCCTCCCCTTTTTGATAAACTACTACTCCCCTTTCCTCTTTTATTTGAACTTCCTTCTCCAATATTTTTTGTATTAAAATAAATTAAAACAAAAAGTAGAAAAATAATTTTAATTTTCATTTTTCTAATATATAAATAATATTTAAATGTTTTTTTGATTTATCTATTAATGGAAGATGAGTTTGTGATAAATATTTAATTTTTGGCAAATATTAATTTGAAGGGGTGTGAAAAGTTCCGATTTAACTCGAACTCTGGAATAAATTATTGAAAGAATCATACTTATAGTTAGGGCCACCAAATGCAAATAAAAAATAGTAAAGGGCTTTTTAAATTAATGAAAAATCTAACAATGAATACACTTCTAGGATACTTTAATTTTGAGATTAACGATCTTAAGTGATTTTTTTCTAACATCTTCTAATCATATTCAACTTTAATTTACTCGCAGAAAAAGGTTAAAATGAAGAAGAGAATGGAGGAAAATTTTTAGAAAATTTAAAAATAAAATAAGTGAAGATTTTTAAAAAAAACGAGTATTTATTTGGTTGATAAATACTCGATTGAAAAGGCGGACCAATAACTTTAATATTTTGAAATGGATGGGATGCGTGCGTTGAGAGAATCTGTGAATTAAAAAATCTATTTTTCTAGTGCAAAATAAAGTTCAAAATTAGGTCTCGTAAATTAATCGAGGGTTTTTTAATTTAAAATTTAGATTAGAAATTCAGATTCAGAATATGTAATTTTAAAGGATATTTAAAATTACATTTTCTTAGAAACTCGAAAATAGACATTTAAAATAGACACATAATTTTTTAACTTTAGGTCCTAGTATTTTCGATTTCACCTGGTATCCATGATATCCCTCCAAATCACCTGACTATCTTCTAAAACCTTATATCACAAAATAAATACGATAATCATTGACATTTAGTGACTCTTGAAGAGAAAATCGCCGATACGTGATAAAAATAATTTTTCCTATTTTTGCGTCTCTTGTGTTTTTTGGCCTTGCGCTGAGTTTTGCGTTTTTGCAATTACAATTACACTCATTGCAATTACATATCTATTGCGCTCGTTCCTTTTCCAAATCTCGTTTAAAAATTTTAAGTCTGTAAATAAATAGATAATTTGGGTTTTTCATTATTAATAAGATTATCTATACGTGTTTTAATATGGATAGAGAATGCAGTCAAAATGAGATAAAAAAAAAGAATAAATTGATTTATTAGTTTAATTATCAATGACCAAAATTGCAAAAAAAAATTTTAAATTAATATAAATATTTCTTTAAACATATTTTAAAAATTAAATACGTTAAATGCTTTAATATAAGCCCGACTCTATTAGAAGCCTATCTCTAATATAAGCCCACTCGAGGAGATCGAAAAATATAAGCCTAGTCTTTAATAGAAGACTACTCTAACGATATCTCATCTAAATTAATTGAATTAAATTAACTTGAAGGATATTTTTGACTGGAAGGATATAGAACGATATCCGGGATTTGGAGGGATATCTTTGATTTTGAGGAGATTTGTAGAAATATAAAAGTGATTTGGAGGAATATCTGGTACTTTGTTCTAGAGATCTGTCTCGAGTCTGATCCACTCTAGATTTTTTTCCATGCATTTTTCATCTTCCTGCATTTTTCTGGATCTGAAATTTTTTGTACCAGATCCAGAATCTAGTCCAGTCAATATCCTAACTCTAAAGTCCAGATCCAGTCGAATTTTTACTGGATTTCCTGGATTAAATTTGGTTCCCTAATCTTTTGTCGATGAACCTTGCGTCAATTACATAATAGGGAACGCACTAACCGGAACAGTCCCAAATCTGGCATAAAAATTTGTCGAGTTCATTTAGCCGGACCAGATCTGGACCGATTTTTCTGGCTTAATCCGCTCCAAAAAAATTCGAAGATCTACTCGTCGCCTCATCCCAAATAACAATTTAAATTTTGTAATAATTAATTTTTTTACTTTTCTAGATTTTTAAAATTGGGATTTGTTAATATTAGGACCTCGTTCTATTTTTATAATTTATTTATTTATTTGTAAATTAATTTATTTAAAATCAAATTTAATTAATTTGCCCTTTTAATATTTCTTTTTAATTTTTATATGAAATATGCACTTAAGTATATGTAATTACTAAATCAGACATTAAAGGAGAGCGCATTTTTGTGTTTTACTCAAAAAATTGTTTTTATAAAAATCCATGAAATAATTTACTTTAATATGTAAATAAATTTTGAAATACTAAATTTTTTGTCTGAGTCTAATTTGCCGCATCCTGTACTTTTTATTTTCACTATTATTTAATATACATATATTTTTATTTCTCAGCTTTGTAAATTTAATTTTAAAAATATTTAATTAATTAATATTCTATAGAATAACCTTTTTAAAATACTCAGTTGAATAAAACCCTTGTGCGGGACTTTTAAGGATTTAATTTAAGCCTTGGTTGAACCCTAAGATTTGAAATTTCCAAATTATTTTGCTTAGCTCTTAAAATAAAATTTTGTAGTGAATGTGGTTATTAAATATATTAATATTCATTTTATTAATAAATGATGCTGAAAATGTAAAACAGAAACTACCTGACATAGAAAGATGGAATAATTATGTTAGAAGATTGGGGGATGTTGATTCAAAGAATTATAGTGTGAATGAAAATGGGGTTTATTGTAAAGTTTGTGAGAAATATGTACATATTTTAATTTAATATTTAATATTTTAATTTAAATTTTAGGGTAAACCAAGGAGATATGCTTTATTTAAAAAACATCACAACGATGGGAAAATGCATCGAACAAAATTGAGTATGATATTCTTAGATAACAATAAACATAATATTAAAAAAATAATATAAATTTTAAAAAATTTTTAAAATTTTTTAATATTTTTAATGAAATTTTAAACATTTAATAGGAAAGAAAGGGTTACTGACTAATGAAATAACTGATCAAAGGCAGAATGAAACAAATCCGGTAATTAACTTTAAATCAAATATACATATTTATTTAAGGAAAATAATCCTCCAAACATTAATCAACAAAATGAATCAAACAAAACATCGGAAAATATGGCTGGGCAATATCGTGAGTTTATTACTGTAAATCCGACCATTATTGTTAAATCAAGTCAGAACCAGTGATTGGGTGATCGCACATAAATTCGTACCTCATACTCGTACTAGGTAAAAACTGAAATGTTAAGTAAATTAAAAATGTTAAGAAGTACGAAACAAAACACATGGTTGATACACGAGTAGATTAGCGGACACGCGTAAAATTAGTTTCTATTACATGGTGTAATAGAAAATTGGAATCTAGGGCTGTTTTTAGAAGACAATTTTGAGAATTTTGGATGTATTAACTTATGTATTAACATTAATAAATTGAATCAATATTAGAATTAAACCCATCATTCTCAACTCAAGATACAAATCATGAAGATGTACAAATCACAGAAAATCCACTTATAGAAAATGAAACCTTTCCTGAAGTAGCATCGTCTTCACACGTACGCGATGTTGATCCATTAGCGAATAATAATTTTTTAGCCATACAGGTGAGTAAATATTAAAATTTGAACTTTTCAACTCAGTATCGCGGGTTTGTTCTTTACTCCACCATGATTCCTGGGTAGAGCCCGGATTGGAGATTGATATCTCGAAAAATATCTTTTGATACTGTGATTTTTCTTCGAGATCTCGTCTTGGCCCAGACCTAGTTAAAATCCCGAAACACTGGAAATAGAATTTTATACATTGGCTCAGACATGGCTGTTTATCCGGAATTGAATTTTTATTAAATATTCTCTCTAAAGACAGAAATCCCCCTATTAGCTCTGTAGAGAAAGTAGTGGAACGTTCAAGGGATATGACGAGATTCGAGCGAAATTTATTACTGAGATTCTATCATTACTAGATTTTAGTTAAATCGAAGCATAAATTAAATAAACATTTAACTAAATTGTTTCTAGCGTCAAATTCTGAAGGGTATAAAATTCAAAGTATCGACAAATGTTGATGAAAATCAAGGAGGGTTTCATTTAAGTATATTTTAAAATGAATTAAAATAAAAATTATAAAATTAAATAAAAGGTTCTTTGTCCAAACAGCAAATTTCCGTCAATATTCGTGAAGAGAAAATTAACAAATTATCTTTAGAGTTACGAGAATGTGTGGTAAAGAAAAAACGTGAATTTGAACAGGTTGTCAAAATAAATAAAGAGAATATTTAATTAAAAATGATTTAAGAATTATCGAAATGATTGTGAAACTTTTGGATTTGTTACTCAAAAACTTGTTGAAAAGGATAAAACTTTGGAGGGTTAAAAATTAAATTTGGTTAAATTTATTAAATATTTTTACAGATCGTTTGAAAGTTGCTCTTTTGGAAACTATGAAAGATTTACAAAGTGAAACAATGAAGAAATTTGATGAATTTCTTGATCAGATTTATAGTTTCAATTGCAATTAAAACAAAAAGAAATTTTAATAATGAATTTAAGATTTTTTAAAATTTATATACTATGTATTATGTATGTGTTATATTAACATATCTTTCCTATTTAAACACCTTTTCACTTTCTTATAGCTATTAAGTATGGTTATGCACGACCGATTAGTAAACGATCCACCGGTTTTCGGATAATCCAAATTTGAAAAACCCGGTTTTGAGTTTTGAACAGATAACAGTTTTATGTATTTTGGGGGGGATTTTTAATAAAATCACTCATTTTCAGAAGTTTCCGGTTTTGTAAATTTTGTAAAACCGGTTAATTTTTGGCAAAAAATAACAAAATTTTCTGTTTTAAAACCGGTCGTGCACAATTCTACTATTAATTTATCCTGATTATCTTTAAGATATCTTCTGTCAGAACTTTATATTTTGGTGTCACTTCTCTCTTATTTTAAATCTTACCTTTAAATAATTCTAATATTGCTGTAAACTCTTACAAATTCTTTCCGAAAAAACTGTAATCTAAATTTATTCATTAACTAATTTTAAAAGAAACAAAAATAAATTTGTTAATTTAATAAGTTCTTTTAATTTACTGGAAATTTCTCCGTATTTTAAATGTATGGCCATTTTCCCCTAAAGAAACACTAAATGTCAACAAACACCGTATTTATTCTGTGATATACGGGCTTGAAGGGTTATAGATTTAGAGGGATATTATGGATATCAGAGTAGAGCTGGACACGCTGTTTTAAAACCGGGAATTTTGACATTTTTTGTCAAAAGTTTTCTATTTTTTTGAAATTTTAAAAACCGGAAATAGTGAATTGGAAAAATTCCAACCCTAATCCAAATTCAGATTTACTCAACTATACACCTATTCTGCTAGAAATATTTGAGAATATTTACATCTACCGAGTTTATAATATACAATTTAAAAGATTATCTAAATTTGGAGGGATATGTGTTAAACACGTCAAAAATATTTGCATCATTAATCATTCATAACATCTTCATATCCTTCTCTTCAACCTGCCCCTGTCTCGGGCCATCAGCTACAAGTTGTAGAAGATGAATACGATTAAAGCCAATCCCACCATCTTGAGTTGAGGCAATCGGAGCTGATGAACTTCCTCCTAATTAAATTATAGGGATATTAACTAGCTTAAAGGAAAGAGGAATTCAATTAACAAAAATTAAATTAGGAATGGAAAAATTCTAAAAATGATTTCGTCCTTCTTGTTTTAAAATTCCAAACATAAAATTGTAAGGATGATTCACCTAGCAGCATTTAAAACGCTTAGGCGGGGGATAAACGATCTAAAAAGGAAAAAGAGAAAGCATTAGTCGATGCCACGGTAGCTCAACGGTAGAGCTCCTGCATATAGTGAGCGAAAGCCTAGCAACAACTAGCAGGTGGTCGCAGGTTCGAATCCTGCCCGGTGGCTAAACTTTTGCAAACTCTTTCTGGTGCCGCTAACAGGGATCCCCACTTGCTGCTGGGTGAACCAGCCGATCCACGGTCATGGCGCTTGACCGAGGGACCGGTCTAATGTAGGGATGGAGATGTAAGGATGATTCACCTAGCAGCATTTAAAACGCTTAGGCGGGGGATAAACGATCTAAAAAGGAAAAAGAGAAAGCATTAGTCGATGCCACGGTAGCTCAACGGTAGAGCTCCTGCATATAGTGAGCGAAAGCCTAGCAACAACTAGCAGGTGGTCGCAGGTTCGAATCCTGCCCGGTGGCTAAACTTTTGCAAACTCTTTCTAAATCTAATACCAAGTCTATCAGCAAGAAATGAAAGGAGTAATCGCCAAGCATGTACAGTTTCACGTCTTTGTCTACCAGTAATTGTTGCTGATTGACAGATAGATTCAGCTAAAGCTTCTCCCATAAAATCCCAATGTGAACGCCTGAGATTTTTTAATAAAATTTTTAAAATAAAAATAAATTCCCCCCACTTTACACGAAATTGAGCATGTTCCCTTCCAACCATTTCTAACCAATTACTTAAAATTTTATCGGGTTCTGACATTCCATCTACTGCCCATTGAGCTAATTCAGTAAAATAACGTTCATGACGCGAAATAGCTAACGGATCTGATGGATTGAAAAGACGCTCAATGGACGGGCATTTCTCTAAAATTTTTTTAATTTAAAATTGATATTTAAAAATTAAACAAACCAAGCATTTTCTCATAAACTGTGCTTCCAAAAGTTGATTTTTGAATTCTAGACCACGACTTTCTGTTAATAAAAAACGATAAAATAAATTTTAAATGTCGGAATAAGCATAAAAATTTTTACAATTTTATTAATTTTACTATACTTTTTAATACCATTAAGGTTTAGGACACACTTCTTATGTCATAACTTTATTCAAATTTAAGATATTGGGATCATATAAATCTTATATGATAGAGAATTAACTATCGAACAAAAATAATCAGAAATTTTTGAAGAACCAACCCTTTGCGAAAATACAGAGTCGATGGCGTGAGAAAAATTTAGCGCAAAAGTTCGGACCTATTAGGGTAAGATTTTCTCCCATTCCCGAACAACCGATAAATGGCAAATTAATAAAAATTGTAAATAGATTCCTGATGGAGGGGGGAGTATTTTAAAGTATTATTTTAAAAATTAGAACTTTTAAATTTTTAAAATTAAATTTTAAAGAGAATTTAAAATAAACAAGCATATCCCTTTACCTAATTAAAACTTGCTGTTCAAGACTGAGCATTTGTAAATGACCACTATTTTGCTAAAAAATATTAATTTTCAAAAATTAAAATTCTCTTCTTAAAAAATTCCCAACTTTATTTAATGTTGGATTTGTAGAAGGGGAAGAACTTCTACAACGTCTCAATGGACGTGGTGCCATCAAAAACTGTCCAGATTCTGAGGAATTTACATTATTCGAATTTCCATTTGTTTGTAAATTTGTGTTAAATATATCAAAACATTTATTTTTCTTAAAAAAATTTTTTTTAATTTTCTTTCAAATTATCTTTAAAAGACTTCATTTGCTGCAGGGGAGGCAACCAGTTGTTGTTGTTTTTGATTTTTATTATTTCGATTATTTTCAAATTCAAAATTATGAAGTGTTGAATGAATTATATATGAATTCATTTTTGTTTTTAATTAAAAAAAATATTTTTTGAATTTTAGTATTATTATCCTTTTTTATATTTTTTATCCAAATTTTCTTCTTCTTAAGCAAAAATAATCTCTTAAAGAAAAATATTTTAATATAAAATATTTTAAATACTTAATGAATTAAGATTAAGGTATTTTTTATCCTTAAAAAGCATAAATTAGTACACAAATATAATAAAATAAAGTTAGCTTGATAAATAATAATTTTTGATAATTTTATTGGTACTCTTGTGTTATCTCCTCT